CACTGGTTACATTTCTTGTCAAAAGAATGCATATTTTTAGAACAGTGTCTAGTAAGTATTTTTATTTTTTTAATCTGACCTAGTGAATGCTCACCCACTGATTTGAACACTTCCGTGCCTTCTTTAAACTGATGTGAGGAACACAATTTAATGTTTACCCAGTCCTTTGAGCCATCATGATAACATTAGCTGCCATACGGTGCTGAAGGCACTCACCCCTTCCTTCACAAAAGGTCCCTTTGCTGTGGTGTTTGTGGGATGATCACGTTGTGTTGTCTCTAATTCCTGTTCCTCCCACTTGCTGTCAGTTGTCATTTCTCACTGCTGTTCAGGCAAAAAACTGTAGGAACAAACCTTATCTATTTATATTTTGTTGCCTTGAATATTTTGATGGCCGTGGCTCCAAAGAACCAACTCTTACAAGACAGGAAAATACAGTTGACCCTTGAACAACATGGGATTTTAGGGGTGCCAACCTCAGTGCAATCAAAAATCTGACTATAACTTTACAGTCAGGCCTCCATATCCGCTGTTTCACATTCAAAGATTCAGCCCTCTGAGGACTGCAAGGTTCTATGGTAGGTATTTTGGGCTTCCCCGGTGGCACGGTGGGAAACAATCCAATGCAGGAGATGCAAGAGATGTGGGTTTGATCCCCGGATCGGGAAGATCCCCTGGAGAAGGAAATGGCAACCCACTCCAGTATTGCTGCCTGGGAAATCCCACGAACAGGGGAGCCTGGCAGGCTACAGCCCATGGGGCTGCAAGGAGTTGGACACGACTTAGAACTGAACAACAACAAATGGTAGGTATTTACTGAAAAAAAAAAAAAAAATCTGTGTAAAAGTGTACCATGAAGCTGTTCTTGTTCACTCTTGTGTTGTTCAAGGATCAACTGTAATAAGAAAAACTGGCTACAGTCTGTTTGAAACACTCTGGCTTTCTGATTTGAAAATTAATAAAGGGAAACCTCAGTAAAACAGAGCTGGGAGGCCAGGAGGGGGAGCTCTGACAAGCCACCACTGGATGTAACTACATTTAACCTCTTTGAAATGACCTTCTCTGAGGAACTGAAAGCCAGGAAGTCTTTTCTAATTATCCTCTAGATTTCCAGAGCCTGGGAAACTGCCTCAGAATTATCAGTTACAGAGAAGAATCATCACTGCAGAGAACCATCAAAAGAATACAGACAAAAAAAGAAAAATATAGACAGCCCCCCCAAAGGAAAAGACGTTACATGGCCTCTCCCACGAGAAGTCACCCAGCCCAGCAGATCGCCCGTGAGCAGCAGCCACTTCCCTCCTGTCACTTTTCTCCAGTGGATTTTTATTCAAAACAACCCTTCTCAACTTCCTTTTTCTCTCCACAATACTGTTACCCTCCTTCATTAGCTGGACCTGTCAATGGCTTTTTTTTAAAGTCTTTATTGAATTTGTTACTAATATTTCTTCCACTTTATGTTTCCTGGACTTTTGGCCACATGGCAGGTGGGACTGTAGTTTCCTGACCAGGGAGGGAACCAGCATCCCTACCCTGGAAGGCAGAGTCTGAACCACTGAATCATCAGGGAAGCGCCTTGTCAATGGCTTTTACTGTAGCTTGTTTGTCTCAAATTGCAATTCCTCTTCTATTCCTAAATAAACACACTTTTGCTGGTAAAATAACTTGTATTTTTAAGGTCAACACCAATTTTATATGTTTCATGAAGAGATATATTTACTTTCTGAAGCTAAAATGTTTTTACTTGTCATTCTAGTAAAATAGCTCTAAAGAAAGTTGAAAGCTTAATGAGATTATATTTAATACTTGTTAAGATTTCTTTTCTTCTAGCTTTATCTCATTTTCAGAGGAACCTGGAAGAAAGCAAATGCCTTTAGAAGTGCAGGTCATCAGTATTTTCTAAATATAAGTGAGTTGTAATGATTAATAACCAAAACAAAAAAACCACCATGAGAACTAAAAATGATTGGATGATGATAAACTTACAGTTTATCAAATCACATTACAATTTATCCAAACAAAAAAGTACTTTTTCTCTAATGGGTTTCTGCTTGCTACTGCTAAGTCGTGTCCGACTCTGTGTGACCCCATAGACGGCAGCCCACCAGGCTCCCCCGTCCCTGGGATTCTCCAGGCAAGAACACTGGAGTGGGTTGCCATTGCCTTCTCCAAAGCATGAAAGTGAAAAGTGAAAGTGAAGTCGCTCAGTCGTGTCCGACTCTTTGCGACCCCATGGACTGCAGCCTAACAGGCTCCCCCGTCCACGGGAGTTTCCAGGCAAGAGCACTGGAGTGGGTGCCATCGCCTTCTCTGAGGTTCCTGCTTATGTGGCAACCAAAGAAACACTCAGCCACTGACTGCACTTATTCTCTACAACATGACCTTCTCTGAGGAGCTGAAAGCCAGCGAGTATTTTAAATTACCCTGTAGATTTTCAGAGCCTGGGAAACTGCCTCAGAAAGCTGCACATCTTTCGGGATACTCTAGCAGATTCAGGGAGAGATGTCTGTTGTCAGCTCACAATGAAGGGCAACTGCCATCATCGTGGTGGCACGGGCACTCAGTCTAGACCTGGCGTACCTGGGAGAAAGCTTGGAAATGCTTTCTTGGCTAGTCTTGGCTTTTTTTGCCAAGGCGAGAGAAGTGGGCAAAAGTAGGCGAGTAAATTTACTTTGCGGGCTTCCCTCATAGCTCAGTTGGTAAAGGATCCGCCTCCAATGCAGGAGACCCCGGTTCGATTCCTGGGTCCGATTCCTGGGTCGGGAAGATCTGCTGGAGAAGGGATAGGCCACCCACTCCAGTATTCTTGGGCTTTCCTGGTGGCTCAGCTGGTAAAGAATCCACCTGCAAAGCGGGAGACCTGGGTTCAACCCCTGGGTTGGGAAGGTCCCCTGGAGAAGGGAAAGGCTACTCACTCCAGTAGTCTGGCCTGGAGAACTCCACGGACTATACAGTCCATGGGGTCGCAAAGAGTTGGACACAACTGAGTGATTTTTACTTCTTCCCTTAGGTTTGAACTATATCAAATTGTTGATATTGATAATTTTTAATCTAAAAGATGAAAATGTGATATGATTTAGCCTAATATTTTGAATCTGTTGAAATACAGATTTTCATATGGATCTCAGGGATTACTATGTACTCTCACCTTTTCAATTATCAAGAAAATGTACAAACTATAATAAAACCAGACTGGGTTGGGATCAATTACATCTAAAATCCCTTTTGACATTAGATATTAGACATATACAGTGAGTTTGGCAGTTGCAGACATTCTGCTAGTCCCTGTAGAGAAAAAGATAAGTAAAATATGGCCCTTGACCTCAAGAAACTCAGGGTACACTACGAGAGATGAAAAAATTAAATAAAAAGGTGAGTACAGTGTAATATGTGCAAGGGTACATTAGAGGTAGCACAGAGAAATGATCAATTCTTATTGAATGGGTCAAGGAAGATATTAAAGAGTAAAGATTTCTCCTTTGGATTCTGAAGGATGAATAGGAGTTGACCAGTGAAACAGGGAGGGATAAGTGCATTTCAGGAAAAGGCAGCAGTATATATACAAAGCATGAAATAGAATAGATCATTGGGGAAATTGTAAGTGTATTGTTAGTGTTAAAACCAAGAATGTGTATAGAAAACTAGTGGGGAACAAGATTGGAGAATAAGGTAGCAGTCAAATTATGGAAGGCCTTGTATTTCATTCTGATTAGTTTCCTTCATCCTATAATACAATAGAGAGTCATGGAAGCATTTTAAATAGAGGAAGAGGTTCTGATTTACATTTTCAAAAGATTACTCTATAATGATGGAAGAGGAAAAACAAAAAGAGTAGAAAAAGATTAGAAAACAACTACCAAAGAGTTAACAGTGGTTGCCTCTAGGTGGTAGAAAATTGTTTTCTCTTTCTTCTTATAGCAGAATGCAGTTAGCTGTTCTTTCAGAGAAGCAGTAACGCTGCAGTCATATAAGTAACTGTCACCCCAATACACTGATTCAGTACAGAGAACACTGACCACATTTGACTCCATTCTTTTCTTTCCTCACCTTTGTTTACACAAAGCAACTATGGTACAAACCTAGAGAGCATCATGCTACACACTGTGGAAAAACCAAGTTAACAAATTACTGAGTTGTGTCAGCCCACAGACCTCATGAGAAAAGCCTGATGATCTGAAACCCTGGGAGGCCACATATAATATATTCCATGGATTTTGAAAGGAACCAATTGTGACTCTACATGAAGTCTGAACAAGTTTTGCATCTTACTTCACTATAGCAGCAATAGAGTTTCATCACATTTCTCTCTCCAGCTCACTTCAAATTCAACTAAACTCTAAGAAAAACAACACATTAACAATGCAAAGAAGGCTTCCACTCACCTACCTAAACTTTCTGAATAGATTGATGAACTCAAGCCCCTGGTTTATAGAAAATCTGGAGCCACTGACACCTTGCAAGGGCACAAGCAATAAATAGTAGAAGCAGAAGTATGCAAAGCAAAGCTTTGGTCAAACTGGTCTCTATAAATGAGATGAGCAAAGCAAGTGACCAGCACAAAGTCTGAGCGCTATTACATTTATGACAAATAGAAAGTCTTATGAGGAAAGAATGCCTGAAGCACTTCATCAAGCAAAAACTATTACTCCATGAAACCCATCTGCAAAATAAGCATAATTGTGGCAATGACCTAATAAGGTTATTGTAAGGAGTTGAACAAATAATACACAGGAAGTGCTTAGAAAGTTTTCTGCCACACAGTAAGCACACAATAATTTATACTGTCATCATCCTTATTATAGCTGGGGCAGAGAGAGTGCTCAATAAATTATAGTATTATTATCATTATTATATCTCATAACTTTGACTCTTTCCAACTATTCCAACTTATAAATCTCCAAGATGTCCTTATGTCAAATACTATTTACTCAATACTGTAATTAAATTAAAATGAAAAAATCATAATGTTTTGAGGGAAAAGATTAATAACACTCCTTTACCTCTTCATATCTGTCAAAAACTGCTCCTTCTTGCAAAAAGGAAGGAACTTCCTTCTGCCAATTAAATTCATAAGGTTTGGCCATGATTAGAGTCAAGACCTGAAAATGAAAAAGAATATATAATGAGTGTACACAATTTAAAAAAACAAGTGCAGAGCAAAGGTTAATCACTTGATATTCATGTGTTTGCAAAAGCTTTGCTTCACACACATAGACTAAGTCTATTAATTGGCTTTTGTGTTTTTTCCCTTATTCTCTTCATCTGACCCTGAATCCCCTTGGCCTGGTTGCTACACCTAAAGAAAGAATATGAAGAAATAACAGAGGTGATCATCTGGGAGCCTTCCCCCTTCCTCTTCAAATCCTATAATGTAATTTTATACATAAAATCTGAAGTTTTTGGATGGAAAACACACACACACCTAAACCTATACATAGGATAGGTAGGGTGCAAAGAGTGAGTGGTTCTACAAGCCTGCACTAGACTGTTATTCCCTCTTTCCCCATATCTTTTACCTGCTTTCTTTATATTTCTTTATTCTATTTTTTCCCTCTTATCATTTGCAAGTTCTACTTTTCATTTTAAATTTTCTATTAGGAAAATTCTTAAATTTTTAACACTCATAGGTCTTCTATTCTGCCAATATCTGGAATTTAAAATATCCCATACCCTAAAATGTTTTTTAATTCTCTCCATTCCATATATCCTTCCCTCCAGCACCTCCTGTATAGATATAATCCTGGATTTTGATGCTAGATTATAACTTCCTTATCGTTTTCTTTTCTTTTTTCCCTTTTGTGGAGAATGGAAACAAGGTTCAAAGACCACCTAATAGAAGGATTTAAACATTTCTGAAATCTGACATTTGTGTCCTCAATATGAAAAAAATTGAGCTATGCAGGCGGTATAAAGGGTAGTGGAAGATACACACAACTAAATATATCTTGAGGTGAAAATAATCTGAAAGATTCAATGTACTATATATTCTGTCAAGAAGAAAAAAAACTTAGAAATAGGAGATATGGGAAGTAAGGTTGGAAGGGAGAAAGAAAGAAGAAAGTTTAAAAAACGGGAGTTTACTCTTGAGTCTTATGTCTTATACAAAAAGAAAAAACGAAACTATAAGAAAAAGATAAAGAAATTACAATGGAGCATCCAAACCTCAGATTACATTGATACAAGAGGTGCTAGAGGGAAGGAAATACGGAACAAAGGGCGACAGAAGTATTTTAGGGTGTGAAATAGAGGCAGTTAAAATTCTAGATATTAGCAGAAAAATAGAAGATCAACTATGAGTGTTAAAAATTTAAGAATTTTCCTAACAGAAAATTTAAAATGCAAAGTATGACTTCCAAGTTATTAAGAGGGAAAAACAGAACAAAGAAATGTGAGTCTCCATTAAAAAGATAAAAATGTGGGAAAGGAAGGGGGGAAACAACACACAATAACCAGGAAACACAAAGTAAAATGACAGCACATTACTAATTCTAATCAACATGAACATGCTGAATTCACTTATAAAAGAAAGAGGCTTTCAAATTAGGAAGCATTATAGTCGTTTACCAGAAATATTTATGAAATGAAAGCTATATAGGAATTTAAAAATGAAGGAAGGAAAGGAAGATATAACAGACAAAGTTTAAGAAGGGAACAGCTGTAACAATGTTAGACAAAATACACTTCAAGGAAAAAAAGAGAGACAATAAGAAGTCACATGAAGAGAAGGGGTGATAAAAATTATTTAAAAGTTATTAGTATCAAACATGTGACCACAGAGCATCAATATATCTATTGAAAAGCTGAAAATACAAAGAAAAAAAATGGCAAAGTCACAAACAGATAACAGTTCTCAGAAATTAATGGAAGACTATTGAGGATCTGGCTATCACATATAGAAATTTAACAAAACAACTTAAATGACTCAGTCAGTCAGTCAGTTCAGTCGCTCAGCCAGGTCCAACTCTTTGCAACCCCGGGGACCGAACCACGCCTGTCCATCACCAACTGTTGGAGTTTATTCAAACTCATGTCCATTGAGTCGGTGATACCAACCAAACATTTCATCCTCTGTTGTCCCCTTCTCCTCCCACCTTCAGTCTTTCCCAGCATCAGGGTCTTTGCAAATGAGTCAGTTCTTCACATCAGGTGGCCAAAGTATTACAGCTTCAATTCAGCTTCATCATCAGTCCTTCCAATGAACACCCAGGACTGATGGACTGATTTCCTTTAGGATGGACTGGTTGGATCTCCTTGCTGTCCAAGGGACTCTCAGGAGTCTTCTCCAACACCACAGTTCAGAAGCACCAAATCTTCAGCTTTCAGCTTTATTTTTAGTCCAACTCTGACATCCATACACGACTATTGGAAAAACCATAGCTTTGACTAGATGGACCTTTGTTGGCAAAGTAATGTCTCTGTTTTTTAATAAGCTGTCTAGGTGGTCATAACTTTTCTTTCAAGGAGCAAGCGTCTTTTAATTTCATGGCTTCAGTCACCATCTGCAGTGATTTTTGGAGCCCCAAAAAATAAAGTCTGTCACTATTTCCACTATTTCCCCATCTATTTCCCAGGAAGTGATGGGACTGGATGCCATGATCTTAGTTTTCTGATTGTTGAGCTTTAAGCCAACTTTTTCACTCTCCTCTTTCACTTTCATCAAGAGGCTCTTTAGTTGTTCTTCACTTTCTGCCATAAGGGTGGTGTCATCTGCATATCTGAGGTTATTGATATTTCTCCTGGCAATCGTGATTCCAGCCTGTGCTTCATCCAGCCCAGCATTTCTCATGATATATTCTGCATATAAGTTAAACAAGCAGGGTGACAATATACAGCCTTGACATACTCCTTTCGCGATTTGGCATCAGTTTGTTGTTCCATTTCTAGTTCTGACTGCTGCTTCTTGATCTGCTTTACAGATTTCTCAGGAGGCAGGTCAGGTGGTCTGGTATTCCCATCTCCTTCAGAATTTCCCACAGTTTGTTGTGATCCACACAGTCAAAGGCTTTGGCATATTCAAAAAAGCAGAAGTAGATATTTTTCTGGAACTCTCTTGCTTTTTCGATGATCTGATAGATGTTGGCAATCTGATCTCTGGTTCCTCTGCTTTTTCTAAATCCAGCTTTGAACATCTGGAATCTCATGGTTCACATACTGTTGAAGCCTGGCTTGGAGAATTTTGAGCATTACTGCATTACTTAGCTGGTATGTGAGATGAGTGCAATTGTGTGGTAGTTTGAGCATTCTTTAGCATTGTCTTTCTTAGGGATTGGAATGAAAACGGACCTTTTCCAGTCCTGTGGCCACTGCTGAGTTTTCTGTATTTGCTGGCATATTGAGTGCAGCACTTTCACAGCATCATCTTTCAGGATCTGAAACAGCTCAACTGGAATTCCATCACCTCCACTAGCTTTATTCCTGATGATGCTTCTTAAGGCCCACTTGACTTTGCATTCCAGGATGTCTGGCTCTAGGTGAGTGATCACACCATTGTGATTATCTGGGTTGTGATGATCTTTTTGTATAATTCTTCTGTGTATTTTTGCCACCTCTTCTTAATATCTTCTCCTTCCTTTAGGTCTATACCATTTCTGTCCTTTATTGTGCCCATCTTTACATGAAATATTCCCTTGGTATCTCTAATTTTCTTGAAGAGATCTCTAGTCTTTCCCATTCTATTGTTTTCCTCTATGTTTTTGCATTGATCACTGAGGAAGGCTTTCTTATCTCTCCTTGCTATTCTTTGGAAATCTGCATTCAAATAGGTATATCTTTCCTTTACTCTTTCATCTTTTGCTTCTCTTCTTTTCATAGCTATTTGTAAGTACTCCTCAGGCAACCGTTTTGCCTTTTAGCATTTCTTTTTCTTGGGGATGGTCTTGATCACTGCCTCCTGTACAATGTCACAAATCTCTGTCCATAGTTCTTCAGGCACTCTATCAGATCTAATCCCTTGAATCTTGTCACTTCCTTTGTACAATTGAAAGGAATTTGACTTAGATCATACTTGAATGGTCTAGTGGTTTTTCTTACTTTCTTCAATTTAAGCCTGAATTTGGCAATGAGGAGTTCATGATCTGAGCCACAGTCAGCTTCCGGTCTTGTTTTTGTTGACTGTATAGAGATTCTCCTTCTTTGGCTGCAAAGACTATAATCAATCAGACTTTGGTATTGACTATCTGGTGATGTCCATGTGTAGATTCTTCTCTTGTGTTGGTGGAAGAGGGTATTTGCTATGACCAGTGCATTTTCTTGGCAAAACTCAGTCTTTGCCCTGTTTCATTCTGTACTCCATGGCCAAATTTGCCTGTTACTCTAGGTATTTCTTGACTTCCTACTTTTGCATTCCAGTCCCCTATAATGAAAAGGACATCTTTTTTGGGTGTTAGTTCTAAAAACAGTTCATAGAACTGTTCAACTTCAGCTTCTTCAATGTTACTGGTCAGGACATAGACTTGGATTACCATGATATTGAATGGTTTGCTTTGGAAACGAACAGAGACCATTCTGTCCTTTTTGAGACTGCATCCGAGTACTGCATTTCAGACTCTTTTCTTGACTATGATGGCAACTCCATTTCTTCTAAGGGATTCTCTCCTATAGTAGTAGATATAATGGTCATCTGAGTTAAATTCACACATTCCAGTCCATTTTAGTTTGCTGATTCCTACAATGCCAATGTTCTCTCTTGATATATCCTGTTTTACCACTTCCAATTCACCTTGATTCATGTACCTAACATTCCAGGTTCCTATGCAATATTGCTCTTTACAGGATCGGACTTACTTCCATCACCAGTCACATCCACAACTGGTTGTTGTTTTTGCTTTCGCTCCATCTCCTCATTCTTTCTGGAGTTATTTCTCCTCTGATCTCCAGTAGCACCCACTGGGCACCTGCCGACCTAGGGAGTTCATCTTTCAGTGTCATATCTGTTTGCCTTTTCATGCTGTTCCTGGGGTTCTCAAGGCAAGAATACTGAAGTGGTTTGCCATTCCCTTCTCCAATGGACTATGTTTTGTCAGAACTCTCCACCATGACCTGTCCATCTTGGGTGGCCCAACAGGGCACAGCTCATAGTTTCATT